TATATATATATATATGTATATATATATGTAACAACTTTTTACTTGTAAAGGTAATAAATATCCCAGTTCTTTCACAGAGTTCCAAAACTTCCTAAGAGCTTGGCCTTCCTTTCAAGTACAAAACAGGTCATTTTCCATCTTAGCTTTATCCTATCATAATGATTTCTACTTTGTAATATCAGCCCTATCTAATCTAGCTTACTTTTAATGACGGCTGTTGTATCAGTAAAATCATCTATGGTTGATTTGAAGGTTTCTATTTGAAGTAAAAGTTTTGATTCTAAATTATGGTGGAAATCAAACTTAAATTCAACTGCCCTTGTAAACACAAAACAGTGGCATGACTTTCATATATTCTTAATTCTTTATTTTAACTGAAAAGAAATGGAAATCAATGTTATTTAATGTAAAAATATTTAAGTATCCATTTTATAAGTTCAAACATTAGCAAAGATTCTTTAAAACAAGAATTTATATGATTAAAACAAACGTTAAGAAAAAGGAAATAGACTAAAATTTCTGACATAATCACTAAATTGGTAGGGTAGTTCCTAACTTCATAAAGTAAGCATGAGAACTTGAATAAAGACATGAAAACCAAAGCAAACCAAAATAACTAACATATTCAGAATTTTAGCAAGCTGTCTGAAAAAACCAATTCTGTCTGGGAGAAGGGCGTTGGAGTGATCAAACAAGAAATCAGCCTGTACGGCCCAGATTGCTAATAGTTCAGTCTATCTGAGCTTTAGCAGGTTAAAAAGCTCCTCAGCTAGAAATTACACAATTCCTATCCTTCCTGGTAGCTTACCACTGACCCTGTGAGTGGCTTACAGCCCATATAAGGAAGCTGGCTGCCCTCCATACTTTGTTTCCCTTTCCTGTAAGCCACACCATGGATGTGCTGATGACTCTGACCACATGGACAAAAACACCTCCTAGGAAACAGCAGACTGACAAGATACAAAGAATGTGGGACCTGAGTGACCAAGTGCAGCAAATCTGCCTGCCATGAACCATCCATCTGCCTCTGGACTACCACGTAATATGGATGCTTGTCTTATGTAATCACTCTACCAACTTTCCTTAACTGTAGTTTAACCTACACTCTAACATAATCTAGAGTTGCAGTTCAAGAACTGGTAGCCCCTATCTTCACTACATGGTAAATATACCACAAAGGCTTACTTCAGTATAGTTGTATCATAAAAGCATCAAAAAAGCAGAATACAAAATATATTAGGGATGAGACTGAGTAACAATGACAGAGGGCAAATATCTACCTTTGTTTTAATTCCTTCCTCAAAACAGTCCATTGTATAAAGGGATTTTTTTAAGGGAAAAAAAAAAAAAGGAACAGGAGAAAACACAGTAGTATGGAGATACTGAAAGCTAGAAAGGAGAGGGAAAAAACAACAAAAGATAGGCCCCATATTAGGAAGAGGCTAAATCCTAAAGCCTAAGAGAAAGCTGTGAAGCTACCTGATTTGACACCTAAAAATCACCAGTGCCTACAAGTTAGAGGCAGTGGGTGCCTCTGGAAGTGGCACGAACCATGTATTAAAGAAACTGAAGTAGGAAGCACTGGTTGCAACTTTGCATAAGAAACAACTAAATCATCTTCATTACCATCATGAATACATTTCTGTGTCCTTCCCCAATCCTGCCAGGCTAAGGCTTATTTGCTAAAAAGGGGCTCAAAACCACAATGAGGTATCAATTCATAACACTCAGAATGGCTCTTACCAAAAAGACAAGAAGTAAGTGTTGGTGAGGATGTGGAGAAAAGGCACCCCTCACGCACTGGTGTTTTACATGAGTCAAGATATGGAGGCAACCTAAGTGTCCAGTGACAGATGAATAAATAAAGAATACATGGTATATATACAACAGAATCTTACTTGGCCGTAAAAAATAATGAAATCTTGCCATTGTGACAACATGAATGAACCTAGAAGATCTTATACTAAGGGAGTTAAGCCAGACAGGGAAGGACAAATACCACATGATTTCACTTACATGTGGAGTCTAAAAACCAAAAGAGAAAACAAACAAGAAAGAGATGAAAAGACTCACAAATATAGAGAAGAAATCAATACAACAACAACAAAAAGAAAAACGGGCTCATAAATATAAACAAACTGATGGCCACCAAAGTGGAGGGGATTGGGGGGATGAGCAAAATGGGTTAAGGAGATTAAGAGGTATAAAACTTCCAGTTTCAAGTCTTGGGGATGAAAAGTGTATCACTGGGAATAGTCAAAAATACTGTAATATACTTATCATGACAAGCATTTCATAATGTGTATAATTGTTAAATCACTATGTAGTCTACCTATAACTTTAGAATTTAAGTAAGTTTTAAATTTTATTTATTTTAAGTAAGCTCTACACCCAACACAGGGCTTGAACTGATGAATGACCCCGAGATCGAGAGCTGCATGCTCTAACAACAGAGGCAGCCAGGCATCCCTAAAACTAGTTTAATATTATATGTCAACTATACTTTAATGAAAACATTTTTGGTCTGTGACACACTAGCAACAACTGAGAGTAGAAGCAGCTACTTTAATCAGGGGAGGAATGGAGAAAACATTTACATACTGAATCCTGAGACCTTCAATCTCCTCTCCCACTTGACTCTCAGAACTCAGTAGCCACAACTGTCATCAACAAGCAAAAAATTAAAAGATTCCTTTCTGTGAAATCTAATTGTAAAAAAAACAATCTTCAAGATGACTTAAATTTCTCAAAGAACCAGCAAAGCCATATTCATCTCCATTAAGGGCTTCAATGACAAGCTCCAAGCACCAATGCAGAATTTCCCTGGCCAAGGACCACAGTTACTTCACACAAGGCTAAATCTAAGCAACCAAGCTAAAAGACAGGAAACAGAGAGAAAGACATTTCAAGAAACAGAAACTACAAGGTGGAGAAAACCACATCTTTAGCTAAGTTTGGTGAAGGCTGAGACAGTGATATGTATAAAATTAAATAAGAAAAGAAAAGGAAAAAAAGTGGTTCCAGAGAAAACAAGAAAGCTGTACAAGGAAAGAAAAAGGAGTCATAATTACCACGTGGCTCAGCTATGAATCATTGTAAAAAGTCATAAAAATATAAAAACCTAACCAAAATAATGACATAAAAATATATTGTGAGGATGGGACAAAGGAAAGAGTGCATGTGTGTGGTGGGCACATGTGGGTGAAGGACGGCAATTAAATTTAATTAAGGTTAAATTAAAAATCAAAAAGTACAGCAAGACAACTCTAATGTTGGGGAATATCAAGTAATTACTAAATCAATCAGCTAAGAGTTGAAAGAGGTTGCCTGTGGTATGACACAAACAGGGACATGAAAAGTCAGGCAACTATGGATTTTCATGATTTTCTTCTGTTTCTCTCAACTATGTTCATGGGTAATTCTGATAAAGATTTAAGAAGCCATACTGGAATAAAATACATCTTTTCAATGTTCCCATTAGTATAACAAAGCAAAGCAAAAGGTATTCATTGATGGCAAATTCACTCTGAGTCTTGGTCATACTCTCAGTTCCGTAATACAATTTTTTACACAAAGGGAGGATTTCTATTTTCAGCCATACTTGGCATCAACTATTCAAAATGCACTAAAATTAAAGTTTTCCGCCCAGGGCTCTCATTGCTTTTTCTTTTCCCAATTTCTCTCTACTCCAAAGCTGAACATCTGTGGTCTCTGGAAACTTTTCATTCTAGAAAAAAAGAGATGGGGGGCAGGATCCAAAAAGTAACAGAAAAATACATAAAGACTTTTCTTACTGGGAGAAAACTGGTAAAGCAATTCTTTTCTGTCACTCATTCACTCCTTAGGATTTCTTTCAACAGTATTTCCCCTTTTGGTTTACTGACAGGCATGGAACACATCTCTTCATTATTCAGAAGCCACTGAGATGTGATTACTCATGAATACAGAAAGTCAACTGCTTACAGCCAGGCTTAACTGAACAGTATGAGAAAGACTATTTAGATCAATTTTTAAAAAAATGGCAAGCCTACTTTCCACAAAATGCAAAATCTATAATTTCTAAGAATCCACATAGGGAAATAATGAGACTTCTTGATTTAGAGGGATATGTATCAGTAGCACTTTAATAACTGAATTCCATCAATTGTTAGAAGCAGGCTGAATTAAGGAATAGTTTTTATTTTTATTTTTTAAGGAATAGTTTTTAAATTGATGGATTAGTACACTACTATAAAATACAAAGCCACTTATTGAGTAAAACAGTATAAATGTTCTTTAAGACATTGATTCTTTATCATCAAAACTGGATTCCAGAAGTCAATGATGAGAGAAAAAAGCAACTAACATGAAAATAGTTAGTGCTTTAGTATAATTACAAAATAGGGTAGGTCAAAAATCCCTAAGAAGCTCATACTTTGTAGTTGTACAGTGGTTACTGAACTTCACTGGCCACAAGGGGAAGAAACTATTCACTTTATGACAGCTACCATTCAAAAGCCTTCAAATGAGAGACTTCTGACACTTTTAGTTTTGTAACATTTTTGTAAATCAGATAATTCACCTCTTTATCAATTTTTGATAACCAAAAAATCTTACTACCCTGGTTTTTGAACACATGGCCCATCCAAAGTCCAGCCAAAACAAAAACGAATATTCTGTGCTTTTAGGAAACTTCGCAAGAAATATCAGCAGATGAAAATGTTACTGAACAGTAAGTCAAGAAGTGAGTGGCACCTAACACAGATGCTTCTATGTCACCTTACCGCTTACCTGAAGTTTTTCACGTGGTCTTCCACCCCTGAAAGACGAATCGAATGCTGCAGAGCATTTAGGTAAGTCAGAGCTTGTGTAGAGGATCCCCAGTTCACGTCTGTGGGAAGACAGGGTACACACAGCAACACACCAGTATTAACCAACGATCAAGAACCAGTTTGAGGCACAGAGAAGTAAACGATGCTCTGTTTAAAAAAACAAATGCTAAAATAAACCAATGTACTTATGACAATGCTCAAGAGTTCAAATGCATGGCATGACACTGTGATAATACTAATCTGAACTGGAACTGCATTTAAAGAACAAGTACAGTTCAGAAAAGACTAAGGTGATGGGGCTAGAGACACGCTGTGCATGCAACTCAACAAAGTTCCACAAATAATTTTAAGATTATTGTTTATATAGCCAGAGGCCTACTGGGAAAGAGGCTGATCTCTGATGGAAAGATTTCAAAACTGTGAAATTACCATTCATAGAACTTAATAGTTTGTTATTGGAACAGGAAAATTTCACACTCTGCATTGAGTAAACAGCCTGGACACCAAATAGGACTTTAGAAATTTGTTATTTTAGAGAAATAATCGTTTCTAAGATGGCTAAAACATTACCTTCTTTGTCCATTTCATTTCTAAAGCCAGCACTCTATCCAAAACCTCCCTGCATCATATCTGGATTGCAAAATGCTTCCTCACAGTTTCAGATGACGACACTGCAGCTACTCTTGCATTTCTTCCTAACTTAGTCGAATGGGGCCAAAACTTGTCAAACTTTTCTCACTGGTTCCTCCCTCAGTGTTACAGTTACCACACTACACTGGACCAATCCCAATACACCTAAGGATCATCATCTTATGTAGAGATACACCCAAGAGTTACCAACACGACACGTTCTGGGAAATCTTTAACCCCAGTTAGAACATGTTTGTCAAATGTTCCCTGCTATATGGTGAACTAACGGAAAGATACCACATCTTTCTAATATACCGTCCATTCCGTGCAATTTACTCCAACAGGTGCTAAGACCACAGTACTAACACATATGCTTATTAGGCTAACAGCTATTACAAGAGCTATTCTACGAAGTCTAATCCTTCCAAGGAAAATTTTAAAATACATTGAGGGTCACCCAAATGTTAGTAATACAAATGTGTCATTTTTCTGTAAGTAGGATTAGTTAAATTTACGGGCAAGTATGAAATTACATAGAATAAAAAGTCTTGTGGTAATTATTTCACTAAGTCTACATATATCTGGAAATGAGAAGTATTTTAGGTTTTACACAAAGCACCTTTCAAGTACACAGAAGATGAAGCTTAGACAGGAAAAGTAACAAAGAACTTCGAAGTGTCTTGTGGCTTGAAACAATAATAAAAGAGTACTAACCTGGTTTTTTGTAGGTCACATAAATATACAGCCCAAGGACTATGACATATGTTAACAATGCAGCCCACCAGTTAATGACAAACATCACTATGCAGCAAAGAATAGCTCCAATAAGTGATATCCACATGTTGTAGTATTTGAATGCAGGACGCCATCCTAACAATTACAAACAAAACAGATACATAAAAGTCAGTGAAATACCTTATCTGCTTTAGACAATGGAACATATGTATGCACAAAATAACTTTCTTTGTGGTTGCTTTAAATATTCAGTATAAGGCTAACATATAAAAGTAGATTCATGGAGCATTACTGAGCACAATGAACTTTCACAATTTTTGAAGGCCATGAAGAAAGCACATGTATTTAATTCTACCTTATTCTATGCATCAACCTATCTTAGTGAATACAAAAAAACTACAAAAGATTGAGAGGAAGTTTCAAGTTGAGTCTTTACAAGTGTGGCTTTATGTTTTAGACTTTACCATGAAACATATGCATATTCTAATGCATATACAAAAGAGTTCAAACAAAATTTTCTGGAAAACTTAATTCATCTACTTGCTAGAAAAATTAACAGTTGGGTGTAGAAACTTATCTTCCCATTTGATGAAGTATTTATAAATTAAGTTCACTATAAAAAAAATGCTCAAGACCATGTTTTCAAATTTTCATTCCATAGCCAAAAATATTATTTAAAAATCATTTCAATAAATTTCATATTCTTTTCTTAAATTAAACTTCTAATTGTGAAATTATTGCAGATTCCCACAAAGTTGTGAGAAAGAATCCAGAGAAATTCTGGGGACTTTTTACCTAGGTTTCCCGCAATGATAACACCTTGCAAAATCACACAATAACACAACTAAGATACTGATATTAATACAAAAGACAAAGAACAGTCCAATATAAGCAGCCCTTGTGTTATCCTTTTACAACCACACATACCCATCTCTAAAATTTATATTCTTAAAGGAAAGGCTGAAGCTAAGATGTGTGTGTCCCAACTTCCATACTTTATCTTCCCTATTCTGAGAGAATTGGAGACCCTTAGAAGGAAAATTGCCTTTGTTCCTTCATTCTTTCTCTGATGTCCAGCTGTTGTTATGGTTTATAATAAAAAGTCCTCGATGAAAGCATATGGGGCAGTTTTTCAGTTCCCAGAGACCATTTAAAACAGAACTCCACAGAACTTACTGTGTTAAAAATATTTTTCTGGGCATGTTAGCTTTATCATAACCATGTTCTTAGAACTTAAATGGAAAACAGTTAAATAAATAATAAAAACAGGGAGAAAATAATTCTTTCATAGTATTAGTCAGAATTGGAGATCAATGCTATCTTAAATGGTTCTAAGAAACAGTAAACTACCAGTAAACTTCATGACAAAGAGATCTTTGAAGACTCACTTAACTTGACTCTAGAGTAAAGGTGGACTGAGCATTAATGGGTTAATCACTCACAACACCATCTTTTAAAATGTGTTGAAGTTTTATTATTTTCTCTAAAATCAAAGACATTAATGCATTCACAGAACTTTAAGAAAATGTAAGATCACCTGGAGATTTTGCAAGTGAGGCATGGAACACCGAAAAATTGATCAAAGCATACGATGCAAGGAAGAAGTTAGAGATAATTGGAGCGATAACATTCAGTTCAGCTGCAAAAGACACATGAGGTGTATTTAAGGACACACTATACACATTTTTTAACTTTTTAAAACATGAAATTATTTTAAGCCTTTAGATGATAGATAGATAGATATACCCCTATATCCACACTTCAGATTTAATGAGTACATATATTTTGCCACATGTACTTCATATACTTTCAGACATCGACCCTTGGGTCCACAGTTGAACCCTTTCCACCTCATTCTTCCAAAGGTGCCCTATTTTTCCAGTGACATTATATAGTTTTACTAAACACATAGGGGCGCCTGGGTGGCGCAGTCGGTTAAGCGTCCGACTTCAGCCAGGTCACGATCTCGCGGTCCGTGAGTTCGAGCCCCGCGTCGGGCTCTGGGCTGATGGCTCAGAGCCTGGAGCCTGTTTCCGATTCTGTGTCTCCCTCTCTCTCTGCCCCTCCCCCGTTCATGCTCTGTCTCTCTCTGTCCCAAAAATAAATAAATGTTGAAAAAAAAAATTAAAAAAAAAAAAAATAAACACATATATAGTCCACAAGTTTTATGCAGTACTGTTTTGGGTATTTTCAAAGTCAGACAAATACCATATTTATCATTTTGCAATTTGGTTACATTTATTATATTTGAGACTCATTCATACTGATATGTGGAGATAAAGCATATTCATTATTTTTACTCTTCGATAATAGTCTGCAGTTTCATTCTTCTGTTAGTAGGTATTCAAGTTGCTTTCCTTTTCTATTATAAATAATGACACTAAAAACATCTTTGGATATGGTTCTTTGGATATACATGCAGTTTCTTTAGGATATATATAGACTGCTAAAAAGAACTGCTGGACTGTGAGAACCTTTACAAAACATTAGTGATTTATTCTCCAAAGTAGCCATACCGAAGAGATACCTAGCAGCATTGCATGAGAGTTAGTTTCCATACTTTCTGGTCTAATTCAGACTTTTAATAAAAGTCCACTATCATCTTCAGCAGTGGAAGACTCATTTAACTCACTTGTGATCAGAGGTAAAAGTGCCCAAAAGTAGCTCAGGGGAGGCTCCACCTTCAGGAGGGCACTAAAACCCTTTCTCGTACGCTGTCATTTTATTTGTTTCAGGGACAAGAACCTAGGAGTTCCCTCTGATGGAGACTTAGTGATGGTAATAATTTTCGCAGGTATGTACTGAGCACTATAATTTATAGTATTTTCTACGTACACTTTCATTTAATCACAAAAAAACTAACTTAGTTTACTAGGCAAATTAAGGTTTTCTTCATAATTTAATAATTCAATGTTTAGAGTTCACACTATAAATGTTACAAAATCTGTATTAGCACATCATTTGTATGACTAACCGATTAAGATGAATCCAAGGGCAATTAAGAATGTTAAGATGTAGCCACGAAGAGGTTCATTATTTTTCCCATAACCTTTAGCAAACATCTGGAAAGCTGGGTAGATGTTGTCCTTACACAGAGCCTAGTGAAGAAAGGCAAATATTAGAGGAAATATAATGAAATTAGACAAACAGACTTCCTTACAGTTATAATATGTGTAAGTGTATAATACTGTATAATACTGTAAAATTTCAGACACAGGATTAGAACACAAGATTTCTACTTCTTGATCCTCTTTCTTCCCACTGTGTCACACTGCTTTACCTAACAAACGATAAAGGAGACCAAACATTTCAAGTATCAAAAGGTAGTTGGTAGAGAATACCGCTGAAGTTTTTATCTACCTTACCCCCCTCCCCACGCTGAAACTCTTTTATGAAGATAAATGGCAGAGAAGCAGGCATACAAATAAATCTGAAAATTTGAGGAGTATGACATAGGTGTGACCTACATCACACAAAAAAAAGTCTAAATCCTAGACTTAAAGCAAATAAAAATCCTTATTATAAAACTTAACCACTTTTCTTAAAACTCTACTAAAAACTATTTTAAGAGATATATTCTACATTGACCCTACTCACTGGCTACAACTATAATATCAGGAACAAGGCTGCAGAACAACATCCTATTCAGTGTCAGCTGTTTGCTTAATGCTCATTAAAGGGAGATAAGATGTGCCTCATTCATCATCCTGAGTAGCTAACACAATGTGTGGCATATAGCAGGCATTCAAATGTTCATAAATCAAAACATAAAGGCTGTCATCATGCAAGAGGGCACAAGGTCCTTTAATTCTTTCAACTTATACTTGGACTGCATTCCTTATTCTTAGTAAGACATTATAAAAAATTTGTGCAATGAGAGTAAGTTGAAAAAACAAAACTCCATCACCATTTACAGATAGACAACTTGACTATACCTTCACAGTAGGTAAATGCACTAATGTTTATATAACGAGAAACATTCACGAAATTAAAGATACCTGTCTTGAGATGTGTGTGTATATATCATACACATATAAAGGCAAACAAATGATTTGAAAAAGTTAAGAATCCCAAAGTGAAATATATTACCATAACTTCCCTTTCAATAAAGCTTGTACTATGAAAATACCTACCTGAAATATTTTGGGAGCACTCACAAGGGATGCTAATGCAGAAGAAAGAGTGGCTGAGAAGATACCTGCAGAAATTAATGGTGCGAATCCTGACACCATGCTCATTACCTTAAAAAAGGGGAAAATTAAGTGTTACAAACAGGTCAAGAAAAAACAAAATACTATATATCATTATTATGCTAATGAAGGAGACTAACAGGGCAGGGGGATATGATAATAACAAGCAGTAATAATGGTTATGTGCATTACAAATTTCTAAAACATATTTACCAGTAGCGTTCACCTTGAATCTTTTTATTTGGTAAAATTTCAGACACACAGCAGACAGAAGAGCATAATGAACCACCAAGTATTTATCACCTGCTTTCAACAATGATCAGCTCAGGACCAATCTCACATCATTGTGAATCAAACCCCAGACATCACTTAATAAACAAATATATAAATATTTCACCATGTACCTCTAATGGGTAAGAACTTTTAAAAACTCTAACTACAAAGCCACTGTCAGAATTTAAAAAGTAGTTCCTTAACATCACCAAACAGCCTATCACCATTCAAGTTCTCCAAGTTGTCCATCTTTTCTTGCCTTTTTAAATAGTTTAAACCAAAAATCACACAAAGACCACACATTAAATTTGGTTGATACATCTCTTAAAGTCTTTTTCAATCAGCAGGTTCACTGCTTTCCTTTACATTTTACTATTAAGTCATTGTCTCAGAGAAGCCTCACACTTCTGGATTTCACTGACTGCATCTCCAACTTGTGGTATGTAACCCGCTGCTCTCACCTCTGTATTTCTAGTGAACTGACATATCTAGACAGTGCATCAGGATGAAATACAAGTTCTGTGGCAAGAGTATTTCAAGATGGTGCACTTCCATCAAGAAGGTTGTTTTTTCTTTCTTTTCTTTTCTTTCTCAAGAAGGTTGCTTTTTCTGTCTTTTCTTTCCTTGCTCCCTCCCTTTCTATCAGATTGGTATTGTAGTTATGTTTTCTCTTTTTTAAAAAGAGACCTCAACTTTTGGAACCTAATGTGGAGATATTTCTACCTGAAAGGACATAAGTCTATGATGTGTCTTTAAATAATGTGAGAAGTAGGAAGTTATAAATAAAACAAAGTCAGCCAAGCACTGGTGATTAATAAAATCTCATAAAGTACATTACACTGCTTTCTCTATCTTTGTACATGTTCAAAAATTTCCCTAATGAAGTTTAAAAAAAAAATGGATTGATCACTTAGATCATGAGAAGACAACCAGATAAATCCAAACTGAGGGGCAAAAAACAAAGTAACATGCCTGGACTCTTTAAAATAACAACACCCTGGAAGATTAAAACAGGCAGGCTGGAAACTCCTAGATTAAAGGATTTTAAAAGAACATGATAACTCAATGCCATACGTAACCTAGATTGGATTTTGGATCTAAGAAAAATACCTATAAGGGACATTACCGGAGCAAGTGGGGAAAATGAAGATGGATGATATATTTAAGTAACAGTATTTCAACAACAACGAATTCCTGAAGTGGGCTAACTATCCTGTGCCCATATAGAATATTTCAAAGAGCTCAAACTGATGGGCATTTTATGGTGTGTATAATTTGTTTTCACATATTTGAGAAGAAAGAGACTATACATATATACAAAGGTAAAGGCCTGGGGCAAAACATAAACACCTAGTAAATTTAAGTGAAGGGGTAGGTATAGAGGTATTCATTGCCCTGCTCCTCCCACATCTTTGAAAACTGTGAAAAGACAAGACCGAGGTGGAAAATTGTCTGGAGGACTCAGGTACTGTCAACTTGACCCATCCATTATAAGTTCCACCAGTAGTGAATGATGATCATTACCTAGATTCATTACTTCCCTAGTAGAGATTTACTTTTCATTTATAGTGACCAAGACCGTGCCAACTAAGAAGAAGGAGACAAGGAAATATGGTTTTAAGGTATTTGTGACTATTTTGCCCTTGACTGTAATTTTATACTTTAAACCAGATGTAAAGTTAGCTATAGGCATGATCCCGGGCCATAATGTATACATCTGGTTTCATGTGTCGATAATTCCACCTTGTTTCACCTAAGTAGCTCTCCCTGTATCTTTCAAAAGACTTAGTATTAAAAATGAAGAATACATTAAAGTGGTTAAAAAAATATTAGCATTGACCTCTGTAAGCATTTCAGAGAGAAAAAATCTTAAACAAATGATTTTCTATTCGGCCCTTTAGTCAAATTTTGGTAGTTAGATATATGCCATATGTTTTTCACAATCACTATGTTTCATGGTCGTTAATACTAGATTAGCAGTGCAACTCCTGTCTTTGGGGAAGGAGATTATAAAGGACAGATAAGATGGACCAGGATAAAAATGAACAGACTTGATTTCTGCTATATATACTTTTCAAATCCAAAATTGTGTGCCTGTCCATCATGACCCCAAAGGTAAGTGCAAAGACAGGAGATAAAGGAAGAAAAAAAGCAAAGTACAGAGAAAATGATACTTTGCTGGATTAAGGCAAAACAGACACCACAAGCATTACATATAACTATAACCTTTCATCTGTCAATTTTGAGGGAAAAATCACGTTTCCTCTTCTTCTATCACCTCTGAAGGGAGGTAAATAATGTTCCACACTTAGCATCTAGAAACGCTATCCTTCTAAAATTTGCTGAGTTTCCTATTTTCTAGTTACATATTTACTCAATAACCTCTGCATTTCTCACCATTTTATGATAAAATATGAATAGCAAGGATAATGATAATGAATGTAAATAATGGTAACATCAGTGTTGTCCACAATACATGATGGAAACAAAGATGACAAAAATAAAGGTCTTATCTCTAGTAAGAGAAAAAAAACAAAAGTCAAGATTTTTCTATAGGGGAAATATATGTGTATGTGTTGATGATTTGAGGTTCAAGAAAATCTTCATGGAACTGGGTTTCCTTGATTAAAGGAATATTTGCACATATAAAAAGAAAAAAAGTAGGTGCATTCCAAGCAGAATGAAGTGCCAAAAAAAAAAAAAGGAAAAGACTAGGAGAAGCATGTGTGCATGTATATATGCAAAAATATGCAACCACATGGGTTCAATGTGGATAGAAGGCAGTGGGACGTAAGACTGGTTATGAAGGGTTTTGACTGACAGTAAAAAGGCTCACACTTTCTTTACTAAGCAATGGTGAGTCAGTGGTTTCAGAAGACATTAAAATGTAGAAACACATTAAGAAACCTAAGACTATATATGTAAAAATCAAAATTTAAGACAAAATGATCCAAGTCATTTTTCTTCCTGAAGTATGAAAAGACAAAGACATGCACAATGGCTTTATCAAGTGTGGTTTTGGGTGGATTGCATCATCAAACTCCAACTTACATGCTTGTTACTTATGTTCTGTGTACCATTCTTCATTCTCTAAATGATGAGTTTACGCTTTTACAGGATTTTTTTTTTCACTTTACAAAGCATTTTTAAAATTTTTGAAGATTTATTTAGTTGTATAAGCAAAGCAGCTTTACATAAACCAAGCTGCTCTTTGCTTTACTGAGTCCATACTAGACTTGATAAAGACAACACACTTTTGTATTTTAAGGCAACAACACAGAAATCTGATTGGCATTTTCAGTCACTGGGCAGAGATCAACATTTGTGCCTTTCATACACAATATCAATGTCAGAATTGGCCTGGATCATTAGCTGGATATGAATACTTTCTTTCATGCCTACGACTATGCCTAGTCTTGTGACTAGAAAAAAACAAACTTCTATTATATAATTGGGTTCAATATTTCTAAACACTGAAAATGTAGACAACTGCTTGAAACCACAAAAAATAAAAATAACGCCATTAAAATGTTACAACATTTTATTACAAAATTTCATTATTCTACATGAAATTTATACTGTCCTAAAATACAATAAATCATCAATTATTGTTTATTATAATTATACTAAACTGTAAAAACACCAGGAAACAAAATTTTTAGTTTTTCCTTTGATTCAGTATAATCTTCTGTTTGTAAAAACCCATATATTTACAAAAATTTCATTTTACCTTTAGAACCTTGTAGAGATAATAATAAAAGGAAGAAGAAATGATATCCTCCAAGTTCTGGACAAGTAGTGTTATCTTTTACACAGTTCATATGTTTTAAAAGGTCACAAACTTTCAAACATCCATTAAGAACTTAATTCTGGGGGTGCCTGGGTGGCTCAGTCAGTTAAGCATCTGACTCTTGATTTTGTCTCAGGTCACGATCTAACAGTTCATGAGGTCAAGCCCCATGTCAGGCTCACAATGCAGAGCCTTCTTGGGATTCTCTCTGCCCTTCCCCTGATCTCTCTGTCTCAAAAATAAGTAAGTAAACAACAACAACAAAAATATAATTCTGTTGTTCAATGGTAGTTTAGCACACTAGGACTATATGGGCCTTATCTAACTAAATAACACTACTGATACTCATGAGTGTTTTTTTAAAAGGGATTTTATATATAAAGCAATTATGTAGACACCTCTAATTAGAAAAACAAACTCATTTGAACAAATGTGGATTTAAAAAACTCTAACATGAAATACTTGCGCAAATCTAACAAAACACGTATAGGACTTGTATTCTGAAAACTACACAATGCTGATGAAGGAAACCAAAGACCTAAATAAATGGAGTAATAGACTGTGTTCATGGATTCTAACACTCAATAGAGTGAATATGTCATTCTCCCTAAATTGATATACAAGTTTAAAGCAGTTCGTAACAAAATCCCACCAAGACTTTTTTCAGATAAACATAAGATTACTCTAGAATTTTTATAGAAATTCAAAAAGAACTAAGATAACTAAAACCATTTTGAAAAAGGATAAAGTGGTCGATATCAATCTACTTGACTTTAAGACTTATTATGTAACTACTCTAGTCAAGAATGTATGGTACTAGTGGATGGATAGATGCAAACATCAATAGAACACAATAGAGAACCTAGAAATAGACCCAAGAAATATGACCATGTGTGAGATGCTTGTTTTCTGAAACTATACACCATACATATGTACTATATATTGTACCCTAATATAGAAGTGTTACCCTTGGGAGCCCTTTTGCTCTTGAAGAGCTTCAGATTTTACCCTTTCAAAATTTTTCTATTTGCCCAATTAGTTATCTACAGACTTTTCCAACAGATATCTGGGTAGAGAATAACAATAGCCCTCCCTTCTAAGTTAGTGCTGGAATCTCAATGCCCAAACTTGATAGCAGTCTAACTTCTACATAAGTGTCTGTATAATATAAATATGATGCTCACCTGGAAATTGTTCATTAGGCCATAGGAACAAGGGCTGGTTTCACAGGATGAAAAGTCGAAGTTTAATTTGCAGGCTGCAGAAGTACAGTTTGTTAGCTCTGTTACAATAGTGTCATTAACGTTCCCAGTAGCATCTCGAACAACACAAGAACCTGAAGTGCAAGGTACAATAATAACAAGTAAGATAGCTCAAATTTGTATTCATTTCAAAATTACATATATACATAAAGCAAATTATGGTACTGAATATATACTTGTTAAAAGTACTGACATTTTCACCATTTACTTTCATAGCATTTATAGTTTACAAAGATTTACCTGTAATAGAATTTAAAAAGCATCATGATCCCCAATATTTTAATGAATCAAAACATTATTAAAAACTAGTATTTTGCAAATACACGATTAAAAACCCTGTACATATGGCTGTGGAAAATGATAACAAGCAAAACCATTTCTAGGTCTATTTGGTAAGATGTCCTTAAGCAAATATAAACACATTGTGTTAAAAGAGTTACAAATGGGAGAAATGTTTTCCTGCTCCAAGTATTTTATATTTGAAACATGCCAAAGATCAGATTTCAGGTAATATCAAACTTCTGCGAAGGAAAGCAATGTGAATATCAATGAATCACAATTCTGTTTAAACCTCTGGCTCAAGTAAGTCTACCCTGATATTAAGAAAATACATGATTATTGGAGAATTGATTAAAAATAACTTGTGGGGCAGAATGAACGGGTATAGGTGAAACAAGATTAACCACACATTGTTAATTCTTGATAACTTCATTGAAACTGGGTGATAGTTGATTAGAAAAAGCTCTCTACTCTTGTGCAAAATTGAAAACTTCTATAATACGACATTTAAAAAACTTTATTGATAAAAAAGCATTTCATTATTTGGAACAACATCTGATGTGTAACTATTGGCAATTACCATTCCTTAGACTTCATATATTTTTACTTTTGAAGCACTTTAGCACTCCTGTCTCATCACATATGAAGTAAAAATAATAAACAGTGTAGCCTAAAGTGAACAACAAACAGAAACTTAAGTTTGAAAGGAAGAACATTTTAATGATTAGATAGCCTACATCAAGTCCTTTTTGTCCTCAATTTCTTCATCTAACTCTCAGAAAAGTGTTTGCAAAACCATGTTTCCTTAAAGGTGCTTGTGAAACCATTTGGGTGGGGGGAGAAAAGAAGCTTGTCTACCCTTTATAAAGCATGAATGCTTTTAAGTGTTTCATATTCTGATGTTCTACATGGAAGTGATTGGGTGAAAAAAGGTTCCATTACTTTGAACTAGTTACACAACCAATGATGTAGGCTGGTCAGGGAGAAAAGACACTCCAAGGGCTAATGTGGACAGAATGAAAGGAGTATGATGGCCAACAGCATTAGGGGGTAACATACAAACAGAAACCATTTATTTGCTGTAACTATTTTCCAATTTGAAACATAACCAGTTATATAAACCTTTCTTTAAATTAAAACTAAATTTTCTTGTGCCAAGAACTTTCAGGGGAACACAAAAATATTTTGCTAAGCTTATATATATAATTGATTTGTTTTTTCTAAATGAATTTCAGAGATTTGCACATATACAGACTTGGAAGAATAAATGAAATCCAACTCCTTTACTAAATGTGAATTTAGCCCACCATGATAGCATTATTAGCATTTCCAATTCTTGTTTAGTGAAGTTTCAAAATTACATTTAGGCAAATTAACAGGAGAGTTTATAAAAAAAAGTTCTGTCATTACTTCACAACATATCACCAAATATGTGACAAAATACAATTTTCTTGGAGTGAGCAGGTGGCTCAGTCGGTTTAGTGCCCAATTTCGGCTCACGTCATCATCTCATGGTTCATGGGAATGTCATGATCTCATGGTTTGTGGGAACAAACCCCAGATCAGGCTTTGCATTAACAGCGCAGGGACTGCTTCAGATTCCCTACCTCCGTCTCTCACTGCCCCTCCCCTACTCATGTTCTCTCAAAAATAAATACACATTTAAAAAATTTTTCTTACCGAAATACTATGAAAACCTTATACTCTGTGGTCTATGATTTTGGAGTTTGATTCTTCAGACTGGTTTTAAACTAAAGCTTTATTCTTATAATATACTTCAGAGATTTAACTGGAAAACTTGAGTCTAGACATTAAAACAAGGCTTACAATTCAAGAATATATGTGTTCTGGGTAAAGTATATAGTTTCACCAAAGTGTAGTAAACGCAATACAATTTATCTATAGTCACTACATGTAAATTACAGGCAAATCAATATTCACCTTTTTTTCTGGATTAGTATATTTTAAAGAACCTACTTTACTAACATTCTTTAAAGAATTCATTATAAAACAAAACAAAATCTCTCTTTGCCAAGAAAACACTTCTTGAAATCAAGTGTCAGTTATCCTTGGTAAGGAAATCTCTAAACTTTCAGTCTTGTGCAAAACAGTGATTTAGAGACTGGTTGACCACTTAAGTCCTTTCAAGTTCTAAAATGCCATGATTTCATGAATGTAATAAAAGATTTAAAACCATTTTCATTCAATTTAGTATGTCCTGTTTACCAGAATCATTTTTTTATGACAGAAAATGCCAAATGCTGTTTAAATGTCTTGAAACAATCTTCATACGTAGTTAAGATTAACATGCAAACATAAAATAATGACCATAAGCAAAAATATTAAAAATTTTATAAAGATCACAAAGTAAAATTCACTTACTTCTACACCATTGTATTACATTTTCTATAAACTGTAGCTCAGTGAAATTTAGGTTTGCAAATAAGACTACATAATTTTCTAATTTACTTTAATGAAAATCTTAGAGGAAAAAACAATAGAGCATCTGGTAGTTTAGCTAATGCCTATAAAACCATTACCAGTTTATTTAAAACTCTTTCTGAATTAAAATATGCAACTCTAAACCTTCTTACTGAAATATTTCTTAATTTAAAAGTTAGAAATATAAATGTCATGGAATAAATACTTAAAGTGTGTACATCATGAAATTTCTGAAACACATAAAAAACTATATGGTTATTTACCTACGGATACTGCAATTCCTATGTAAACCACTGTAGTAATTAAAATGGCTAAGAGTGTTCCTTTGGGTATGGCTGACTGAGGATCCTAAAAGGCAAGAAAAAAAATTTAAGTCTACCTTTAAAAGTAATATACATCTACGGTTTTTTATACAGAAGTGATCCAGTACCTTGTAATACTTACCGCAAGATCACCTGAGATATTTGCTCCGGCAAGAATCCCAGTTGCGGCAGGGAAAAAGATGGCAAATACAGAAAAGAAAGTCTCTTCCTCCCGAAAATCTGGTCCAAAGTTCTCATTAAATATTTCAGCTATGGAGAACAAAATGTCTTTGGCAATTAATGGAAAGCAGATTGCACCACTATAATTTAGGTCAAGTCTGAGCGATACATATGCACGATCCCTCGCTTTTTTTCAGTTCAAGTCACTGGTAAATTCTTGAATACCGCCTAGGTGAAGTCTGGCATTCCTCTTTTCTTATATGAGGGAACAGTTTACAATCAAAATGATGATTTGACTTCGGTCATGCCTACTAGTCCATATGCCTTACTAATTATGTTTCAAGCATCTCTACCTTGATTGGTATCACTAGTCCAGATGTCAATCAAAGCATGGATAAACTTCTTAATGTCTGGGGTCAGTCAAGGAAACAAGAAAGGAGGTAGAAAAACATCATACTAACATGGAACCATTTTTTTCTTACGTCTAACCTACATACTATCTGTATAGCTTTCTCTACTTCCTAGTGCTGACCTGTTTATGCTTCGATGCTGAATTATTCATCAGGCTTCCACAGAATTTTAGCTAAAGCAAACTAGGTAAAGTCCCTTTCCATTGTAACAATAATTAAAGCTTTAACTAGTCCTACTGTTTTCATCTATTATGATAGGCCTTGACAATGAAATAACCCACTAACTGTCATTTAACCATCCACCCATCCACCAGTATCTGAGTGTGTGCCATACGCCAGGTCCTCTGCTAGAGCCATCTGGTAGCTCACTACCTTAGTAAGATGAATGGCAAGACAGCAAAGCAGTATCAGTCACCAAGAAAAAAAGTCACATTCCAAAATTTATTTAGATTTATGTACTTCAGACTGAGATAAATCTAGATATGCTACTTATACAATATTTATTACTATACTAGATAGCTATGCAATACTTTTGTAAAGTTGCCAAGGATCTGAAACACAAAGAAATGAAAAACGTGGCAGTTATTTGTAGCTATTCTGAAGTCAACCTAAGTCACAAAGAGAAAATATATAATTACTAGGAATATTTTTAGAAGTAATCATCCACTCTAATTTTTAACACTTCTTTTAGAAATAAAGTTGCAAAAATAAATGCTCAAAAAAATTTTTTTATCCTAAAAAAACACTTAAGTAAAAAATCACTTGTAATTAAAATAAATGTCACAATTTATGAGAGCATAAAATAAAGAAAAGGAACTACCTAAGTAACGCTACTGAACTTCACTTCTGGCATGCGTAGTAGACACCTGTCCTCCCAATGGAGAAGATAAAGAATTTAAAGCCCAGCTTAGAATCAGGCATGAATACCACTCATAAAAACATATTATCACACTATCAACCCAGGACCAGAAGGCACAAATAATGGGTTGTGAAGACTGAAAAAGCATCACTGGCTCAGGTAAAATCCTTGGAACAATTCCTATCAGAAAACCACCCAGGCCAACTAAGTCAGTGTCTGATATAAGCCAAACCAGTGCTACTCACAAATGTTCTAAGGTCTGTATGTTATCAGTGAGTTTACACCAGGGTGTAGACCAACTAGGGGTCTAGGTTGCACAATTTGGGTCAGCTGATTTTTGTTCCCAGTAAGACTTCGTGAAGGAAGAAATGCATTGATGTACATTCTATATCTTTTCACAGATCTGTGTGAGCAGCTCTGGGCTATACAATTCTGCAGTATAAAAGCTACGTCTCTTCCTCTAGGGCTGCAAAACCAGGAATTTTGATGAACTGAAGACAAGTCTATTTATTACCCTAAGTGGTGAGCCTCTATGACGCTGACGCAACAATTGTTTCCTGCTCCATTTTACCCTGTGGAGACAGGATGGGTTGATCCAGTAGGTGGGGAGTTGGGGTGGAGGGGGCAGTACAGAGACACACTTTGGGGAATAACAAATGACAATTTCATCAATCAGATGCAGAACGAAAAGGGTTACAGAGGTGAAAACTGTGGAAAATTCTCACAAATTCTAATGACAACTGTAGAAAAACTTAAGTTGCAATTACACCAAGAAATGAATGTTTCTTTCACAGGTTTAGGCACTTTGGGTTGTGAAGAATGAAAAAGCCATGTGAAAACACAAGTTACCATTTCAGTTACAAACTCCCTAAATTATAAAGAACAAAAGCACCTTTCCTCAGTAGCACTGATTTTTCTACATTCTATTACCTTTTGTTGCTAATAATGAAAAACCAAAGGGTTAAATAAAAGTGGTATTTTACTCTGTAATATACATAAAGGAGACAATACTAAATTGGAGTAACTATACCAAAATCAATTCTATTACAAAGAACCTAAAATATACTAATTTTGTTTACTAATGGAATTGTTATAATAAGCACCTTTAAAATTGTTTTTTTTTTTTTTTACTTACATTTATAACCAAAGAAACCTTTGGGCTTCTTGCTGTCCAATGGGATGAATGTTCCTATGACGAAATCAGCAATAGCAAGAAGTAGAATCACCAAAAGAACAATCTGAGCCTAGAAATTTCAAATATTAAAAATCAAAATCAAATCTCTCATGTCTATACACTGATTCACTTTCACTACCATATAACTTGCATGAGGGAAAGGATTACTGTCTTGTTTTCCCAGAGCCTCAAACAGTACTAAGCACAAAGCAAGTGCTCAAAAAACTTTTATTTTTAATTTTTTTAAACGTTTATTTTTGAGACAGTGTGAGAGTGTGAGCAGGAGAGGGGCAGGGAGAGGAGACACAGAATCCGAAGCAGGCTCCAGGCTGTCAGCACAGAGCCCAACGTGGAACTCAAACTCACAAACTGTGAGACCATGATCTGAGCTGAAGTCAGACACTTAACCAAATGGGCCACCCAGGTGCCCCTCAATAAACTTTTATTAAATGAAAAATCTTTGAATAACTATCCAAAAATGTTCAATATGCTCGGAAGAAAATGGATAGCAAATGTAGAACCAGCCCATGTATTTCTGAAATTAAAGATGTGCATGCCCTCCAGTAAATCATAAAGCACTATAAATTCCACAATCTGTAGGCTTTTCATCCTTTGTGGTTATTTACTGCCCCCTCCACCTTAAGTACAATGTTGATGAGGGGAACATATCTGTTACAAACACAAGTTTTACACCAAGTCCAAAGACAATGCTGAATGTGTGACACCTGTAGGAAAAGACGAAGAAAAAGTACAGAAAGAAGACAATATCCAGGAGGAGGATCTAAGCAGCAATGGGTCTGGGGGAACAATCTATGAGAACAACCCCTCCTCCTGCACTCTTTTTGTTTTGTTTTTGTGAGGTGTAACTGACGTGTAACAACGTTTTAGCTTCCTGGGTACCATGCAATGATTCAGTATTTATATACATAAATTGTGAAATGACCAGAATAAGTCTAGTTAATATCCTTGACCAGAGTTAAAAATTTGTCTTTTCCTGTGATGAGAACTTTTAAGATATACTCTCTTAAAAAAGCAACTTTCAAATATGCAGTAAACTATAGTCACCATGCAGTACATGACATCCCTATGACATTTATTTTAGAACTGCAATTTTATACATTTGACTCTGTTTACTATTTTGCCCCCTACCCTCACCTTTCCTCCTCCACTCTTAACCTCCCAATAAAGTGGAGCAGATACTCCAGAAAACCTGTGTCATCTGTGGTAAGAAAAACTGCTTGAATGAGAATCATGTCCCAGGTAGTATGAAATTCTATTATTTTCAGTAAAGTCAACTGGTTAAATGTGTAAGTAAATGATTTAATTTTATACTAATGATTTAAGAAAATAACCCTTATTCTTTACAGTTTTCCTAATTTTTGATCTGGTAAACATTATCATGGCTCATATATAGCACAGATGTGTGATCTTACATGACTTAAAAAAGGAAACAAGAAGAAACCTAAAAGGACTTAGAGATCCTCAGCAGCATCTGTGTGGATGTGCATTAGTCAGGAAAATAGAGTTGTGCTGAGGAATATTTTCTCAAAGGTACAGAAATAATTCCAGATGCCCTGCCTACATGTTAACATGTGATTTCACCAATTCTTCCCAGTAACAGTGCCCCTGGCTTAGGTAGTTGGGATTTCTGAGAGTTCAATCGCAAGGAACAAGATTAACTTTTCTGATCTCTATGGGCACTAGTTTGAAGTTTAGTGCCCCTGTGTTAATTTTTGAAGTTGAACTTTTAAATAAATTACAAAGCCAAGAGTTTAATTTGGGCTCCTAACATACTGACCAGAGTGATTCTAAAGAATGTAAATTAAGATTAGGGGAAGGGATGGAAGGTAGGAAGTCAAAAGTTAGAAAGCACTGGGTTTAAGTGGATGCTGGAATGACTGTTATCTCCAAATATTCCTTACCTTGTCAGATAGAAGATAACCTGATACATAAATTTCTCTGAAAAATGGCCACTTAAGGAATCTTCAAAATCTAAGTATATTACCACACTTAACAGTGGTCCCTAATAAGTTCTAAAAGTTGACATATTAAATATGTACAGATACTCCAGTGATGTCATTGCTTACTTTTGCTTCCCACTCCATTCCAGCTACCGAGATACCTAGAAGGATCACCACTGTAATGGCTCCAATAATTCGGATATCATTGATTTCATCTATCATAAGTATGGAATGTTCCTAGAAGAAGAGAATTATAAATGTAATGAACAATATTAGTTACTGAACTATTTAATTCTTTTTTGAAACATTTCAGAGACATGACAACACCTTACATGAAAAAGTTAGATAAATGACTATGGAATGAATAGGGAGGCCTAAGGAAAAGGAATAAATAACTATGTACTATTGAGGTATCATACAATTATCTCAAGATATCAAAAATATGATCAAATTAATAATGCTGTATTTAATACAGATTCCATAAATCAAAAATGAAATTGGTAACAAGCAAATAAAAATCATAGTATGTCAAAGCAGTACCAACAGGATTTTTTCAAGAAATATATTTTGTATTCACTGTGATTAGCCAAGTGATGCTTTTGAAAATGGTCTTTTATACTGTCTAAGAAATGAATACATTTTTGGCCAAAATCACACTCTTTCCACTCTACAAGTAAAAATGTTTGTGGTTTAATTTCAATGACATTAAAAACATGCTAACAAATTAAATAATGTAAAAACAGGAATTCATAATAGTTACATTGCTTGCTTTCTTATAGCCCTTGCTTTTCTCCATCCCTTTGGCCTATACAAAGAAGGTCAATGCCAATGTAAGTCTCAGTCCTCTTCAGATTTTACACTTCCTACTGTACTGCATATTACTGCAGAAGAAGAGTTACAGCCTAACCTAACATGAACAACTACAGGTATCTCTCAAGGTTCTTCTCATTTAAATATGCCAAATCCTATTTCGCTTGTACTGCTTTAACTATACACATCCCAATGCCTTTTTTAAACAAATGCTCTCCTGAACTCCAGAGCAGTATTATCAACTACTTCCTGGCCAGCTCTACTGGGATGTAACTCAGGTTCCTCAAATTAGACATCCCAAATTAAACTGCCCTGTGTTGCTATTTCGAAGTGAAGGCCATTATCCTCCATTTGAATCACCAACTGAGAAATCTGTATATAAACCTGAAAATCCTTTCTCTTTCTCTAATTTCCCATAAGCCCAATAATCATCAAGTCCACTCATTCAACATTTAAAAAAATCTTTCCAGTTCACTACACTTCTCCAGCCTCACTGGTCACTGTTGGAACGTATGCCAGCATCCCTCTCCCAGGATAGCTACAATCTTCTAAATGGTCTCCCTCTCCACCTGTGATCCCTCAGATCCATTCTCTACTTGAGGGCCAGGGGTTTCTTTAGGCACCAATCTGATCACACCCCAGCCCCTAACTCTGATCAAGATTAAGACCACAATTTAACAGCAAACAATACCTTTCCTGATTTGACCCTTTTTTTCCTCTCTTTAGTTTTAAATCTTTGTGCTCTAGTCATAAAGAAATATTTACAGGGTTTTTGTTTTGTTTTGTTTTTTAAACAAACCATACTCTTCCAGGCCTTTGTTTCCTTTTCTTCCCTATTCCCTTCATACGATGCCCCATTCCTCTGACCTGCCTGCTAACACCTAGACTCCCATCCCTGGAAAACTCTTCCTTACACTCCTGTGCTACCCCCTTTCCTGGACATAGGTTAAGTGATTACCCTTTGTGTTGCCAAGGTCTCCTACAACTACCCACTTGTGACATCGTATCGTCATTATTTTCTTTGTCTATCTTCCACACTAAACTTCTTGAAGGACGTATTTTGCGTCCATGACAGCTTTCCTAGCATCTAACATGGGGAGTGGTACATAACCCCCTCAATAAACATTTGGGAAACCAACGTCTAAAAGGGGAAATTACCTTAAGCAGCTCCACCACAGTTTCTGCAAATCCAACCACATACATAGCAACTGCAACAGCATTGGCAAAAGCGAAGATGAGGCCAATTGCGCCACCAAATTCTGGCCCTAGACTTCTAGATATTAAATAATACGCTCCTCCTAAAAGAAAGAACAAAAAAAGTAGTAAAGTTAGGATTTTAAATGTCAAACAATCCTTTTAATTTCACAAGAATTCAGAAAGCACATGCCTCCCGTAAGCACAGCAGTTAAATTAACGAGCAAGTGGGTGAGCATATTTTCAGGAAGAAACAAAAGAATTCTTAACAACCCACTTCATTCATTAACAGTTCTCAACATCCAGAGAATTCTGCCTGTATCAAATATAAAATCATCCAGCTATTTAAATCCTTATTTTCTCTTCTAAAGCTTAGACTAAAACGGGCAACAGCCTTCTGCTCAGATTCACAGATACCAAGATCATCTCCCGATGGTTTTCTAAGTAGTGCTTTTAATGTTAATGTAACTTTCATAATCACAGTTGAGATTATTTCAGTTACTTAAATTAATATGGGAATTTGTTGGTAATGTGAATATTAAGACTAAGCAAACTTCGTAAGAAAATTTCACAAGAAACTGCAAAGAAGCATATGGTGGTCTCCTAAATAGATACAGTTTATATTTTAATAAATCCAGCCTACATGCAATAGTCAACAAGGACATTAAATGAACTATCATGAATCAAGTGTTTTTCTAACCTAAATATTAACCAGTATTATGATTTTGAGTCAATCTAACGCTTAGCTCTAAGAATTCTTCTAAAATTCTAATTTATTTATGGCCTCTAGGTAATTATCAAACTTAGTTTTAATAATAATGAAGTTACATGAAGTTATATACATTTTCTCTTAGATACTAATGAACTGTTTAGTTCATAAGACCATATAATGAAATGCCTTTTAATAGTTGAACATTTCTCCTATTCTTCTAGCATAATGAAGACAAATACAAAAAAAAATCCTATAGTTTAATAAAGTACTAAATACACAAACTTCATTTTGGACATACCTATAATAGGTCTTATAGTTAATTCTATCAATTCTCTCAAAAAAAATATTCTACACTTTAAATCCATCCATCCCAAACTTCCTTAGTTACTTATTTTACCAATTAATCATTTCCACCACCTTGGAAATCTTGGGAAAAAAAACAACCACCTAATCCTATGTATTGATTGGTCTTATGTATTTTTTTAACTCATGTTTATTTTTTAATTTTTTAAAATGTTTATTTTTGAGAGAGACAGAGAGCAAGCAGGGGAGGGATAGAGAGAGACGGAGACACAGAATCTGAAGCAGGCTCCAAGCTCTGAGCTGTTAGCACAGAGCCCGACATGGGGCTCGAACCCGTGAACTGTGAAATCATGACCTGAGCCAAAGTTGTATGCTTACCCGACTGAGCCACCCAGGTGCTCCTGGTTTTATGGTTTTTAATCAGATGAAATTACTTAAAAATCTCCCAGAAATATTTTTGAATACTAAAAAGTTCTAATGGACTTATATAAGGACAGTTTTTTATGTCCAATAAAGATCTTAGTGTAAGACTACATCATAATCTAATTAATCACAGGAAAACTCCTAGAATACTCTAATTATCAAGCCTATATTTAACATATGTTCTCAAAATTGATTTAAACTATTTTTGTTTAATGCCAATACCAACAATGAATTACATATTATTTATCCTGATTTCATAAATGAGAAAATTAAGTCACCATGAAAGGTTAACTGAAATCAACAATGACTCATGGGTTTCAACAGCTGACAATATAAATTTTAAAATGAGAAACATAACCAACAGGACCTGTAAAAGCAAAGAATTCATCCATCATATGCTTTATAGTTATGATTTCAAGTCTTTCTATTACAAAGAAGAAAAAATATGTATCTTCAGGTGCATTCAATATGCGGGAACAATGAGAGGGGGAAATTCACCTCAGGAATGATGAATAAAGGTAGGCAAATTCTGACATTCCAGAACTGTATCTTATCTTTTATAAATTAAGATGTGTAAACCTTAAAGTTTCATACCGGTTTTGTTAATTTTTAAAAGATTTGCATTTTTTCCAAGAATGTAAGAAGAGCAAATGGATAATAGAAAATAAAAGAGCAGCTGCTGTTCTCCTTATACTTTTACTCCTGATGTAAATGTTCTCTGCCCCGTTTCTTTCACTTCCACTCTTGCTTCCTAGAGGAAACCAGTTTTAAAAGCTGTTTTCCTTTTTTTTTCATTAGCATCAAAAGGTAGTATTAAAGACCTACTACTCTCAGCCTGGTATTTTACTAATTGGCATAAAGTACGTATTTATCTTCAATTTAAATTTGCTTTGTTAAAAATTACACATTCTGGGGTGCCTGGGCGGCTCAATAGGTTGAGTCTCCAACTCCTTATTGTGGTTCAGGTCATAGTCTCACAGTCATGAGATTGAGCTGTATGCGGGGCTCCATTCTAAGTATGGAGCCTGCTTAAGATTCTCCTTCTGTCTCCCTCTGCCTCTCCCCTGCTCGTACTCTTTCAAGAAAAAAAAAAAAAAAAAAAAAAAAAAAAAAGAGAGAGAGAGATTCAAAAAACTATATAATTTGTGATAGTAATAGAATAATGGAAGAAAACCATATAACCATTTCAGAAGATGTAGGAAATACATGGCAAAATTCAATATCCAACCATGAACAAATATTCTCAGCAATTTAGAAATAGAACTTCCTCAATCTGACAAATGACATCTTCAAAAACCCCACTAACAACTTCTTAGTTGTGATATACTGCACTCATTCCACTTAAGACTGAGAACAAGGTAATGATATCTATTCTCACCACTTCAATTAAACACTGTAGTGGAACTCCTAGCTAATTCAACAAAAGAAAAAAAAATCCTAAAAATTGTAAAGACAAAGTGTAAGCCATGTCTATTAACTGATGATACGTCTGTTTATGTTTAGCCAGATCACAGACTATTGGGACTAAAATACAACAAGTCTATTTTATTTCTATATATAAGAAACAAAAAAAAATGGAAAATAAAATTTACAAATACCATTTGACACAAAGGACATGAAACATGTAAGGGCAAAGTTAATAATGTATATGCGAAACATCTATACAGAAAAATACAAAACAATGCTATCAGAAACAACAGATCTAAATATATGGATATACCATTTTCATCAACTGTAAGATTCAATACTGTTAACATAACCATTCTTCCCAAAAAAATTTAAAAAAAATTTTTTTAATGTTTATTTATTAATGAGAGACACAGAGCATGAGCAGGGGAGAGGCTGAGAGATTGAGAGACACAGAATCTGGAGCAGGTTCCAGGCTCTGAGCTGTCAGCACAGAGCCCGACGCAGGGCTTGAACTCACAAATCGCGAGATCATGACCTAAGCCGAAGTCGGACACTTAACCGGCTGAGCCACCCAGGTGCCCTCCAAAAAGATTTTTTTTTTAACGATTTTTAAGTTTATTTTGAGAGAGAGAGTGAGAAAGGCATACAGAGAGGGGCAGAAAGAAAATCCCAAGCAGGCTCTGTGATGTCAGTGCAGAGCCGGATGAAGGTTTGGGTGTCACAAACAACGAGGTCACAGAGTATGAGATCATGACTTGAGCCAAACCCAAGAGTCAGATGCTTAACCAAACGAGCCACCCAGGCACCCCCCAAAATATTTTTAAGGCTGAAATCCCAAAGCCCCACTAAGATTTTATTTTATTTTATTTTTTTACTATTTAGCAGAAAACACCTAATTCAAAAATTTATGTAAAAATACAAACGACCTAAAAGAGCCAAAACACTCTTAAAAAAGAAAACCAAATTTGGAAGTCTCTGAAATTATAAAGCTAAGCAATCAATACTAACTAGCATAATAGGAGAAACAAAACTTATCAATGAAATAGCATATAGTCTAGACAAAAACACAATAAATTTTTCAACAATGGCACAAAAATTAATTCAACAGAGAAAAGATAGGTCGTTTCAAAAAATGGTGCAGGAACAAGTGGATACGTACACAGTGGGGTAGCAAGAGGAGAAAACCACAACCTCTGTCGCACTAATATTAAAAAAATTCCTTTGATACTACTAATAGTCAAAACCTAAGCTACTATAAAGATTCTAGATAAAACAAAGAAGAATATCTTTAAGACCTTGGGATAAGCAAAAGATTTCAGGCCAGTAGATAAAAGCTGTACACGAAAACACAAGAATCTGGATTTCATCAAAATAGTAAACTTCTACACTCTGAAACATAGCATTAAAAAAATTATAAAAATGTAGAGGCAAGTCAAAAACTGGGGGAGAAAACCCATAATACAGATGTTAGACAAATCACTTGTATTCAGAATATATTTAGAAACTCCTACAAATAAAAAAAGATAACACAATTTAAATATTGGCAAAAGATTTGAATACATTACAAAAGAAGATATACAAGTGGTCATAAGCACATGAAAAGATGCTTACCATAATTAATTATCTACAAGAATAGCTATAATTAAAAATACATAACAAGTGTTGGCAGTAACATGGAAAACTTAAGTCTCATATATTCATGGTAGTATAAAATGGTAAAACCACTTTGGAAAACTATTTGGCAATTTCTTATAAATGAGACATATAAATACCCCATGAATCAACAAATCCACTCATAATCTCCCAACATGAATAAAAACATAGACATCGACACAGACTTGTCTAAGAATATTCTTGTCAAGCTTATTCATATAGCCTCACACTAAAAATAACCCAAATGTCCAATAGGAACTAAATAAACAAATTATTGTTACTACAAATGTACAGTCATAAAACAGAGTAATATACAATAAAATGTATGTAGTAAAATACTACACTACAGCAAACTACTAACATATAGAACGACATGGATGAATTCTGAAAATATTATATTGAGGTATGACACAAAAAGAGTACCTTTTAGGTAATAAAAGCCCACCCTGGGCTAGAGGTGAGGGAATGATTATAAAGGAAGTTTCCAGTATGATAAAAATACTTTGTATTCTGATTGAGCTAGGTTTATATACTTACCAAAACTCACAGAACTGTAAACCTAAAATCTACATTTCACTATGTGTGAATTTTACTTCAATAATA